ATGGCTCTCAACTTCGAGTATGCTTCAAGGTTCTCTACTCGGTAGGAAACCAAGTGGATTAAGAAGTACGAAGGAGATCTCAAGGAGTCTCATGATCGCCTTTTTAGTCAACTTTTAATCAAGTCTTCTAATAGGTATTTTTATCTTCTTGACTTGTATTTTATGATATTTTATGAATTTGCCTTCTTTTAATCCTTCCTTGGTTACTTTGATCTTGCAGCGCAATGCCACATTGAAGAGGTGGATGTCGGGCTAGACGAAGAAGTTGCGAACACATTTGTCCTCCAAAAGGCTGTGACTGAGGCAGAGAGACAAGGTGCTGGGGAAGGCGGAGATGTCTCCAAGTTATTTGGAGACTCTGAGGGTGAGGCTGAGCCTGCAGTGAAGCCTCGGGCAACACGTCGGACAATGACATTAGTGATAAAATCTTCGGAGTCTGATCCTGAAGAGCAGCCCGAGTCACGGTCTGCTTTGCCCGTACCTCGGGCAAATCTAACCAAGAAGAGGACCAGGGCTCAAACCTCTAAGACCTTTTAATCCTCTCTAAGTTTTCTATTGCCCTTGCACCTGATGTGGGTAAGAAAAAGCAGAAGGTTTCCAATGAGTTATCCGTTCTTCTTTTTTTGTTTAGTTGCAATCTCACTTTATGGGGTAACAACTCTTTCTTCTTTAAAACTAGGACCTCAAGCAACCAAGAAGCCCACTATTGCGTCAAAGGAAGAGCCATTAGGTGTGAAGATGCACCAGAAGGCCAATGATCTTCTTGATACCACCCTTAAAGAACTAGAAGTATGACCTGCATCTCAAGTCATTCCTTTGAAGTTTTCCTTTTTTTCTTTTCTTTCATTTTTATTTTTATTTTTTATTATTGACTCTTTGCCCGATTGCCTGAAACAGGGTATAAGAAAGGAAAGGATCTCGCAGCCCGATGCATTTTCACCCTCAGCCCGAACAACACAAGCTTTTCCTCCTCAGGCTAAATCTTCCAAGGTATACTTTTCTCACCCTTGGCTTAAAATTTGTAACTTTATTACTTTGGAAGCTAATGATTGACTTTCATTCCTTTGTAGGCCAAGGTTAGGAAACCTGCGTCTTCGATTGGGCAAGGCTCAACTTCCATGTCTTCTATTCATCCTCTAGCATTGGTGGTGACTCCAACTTCCCAGTTTAATCCCAAGACTGGGGAGATGTTGCACTTTGTGGAAGACAACAGCAACTCGATGATTATCCTTATTTTATGCTCAAAGTTCATTCTCTTATACTCATCATCTTTTGCTTTTTTTTTTCCCAATCTTCCCCAGCATAAGAGTTTCATCAACCAACAACAACTGCATCCAGGGAGCCCATAGTCCCTGAGATCCCTGTGGTCTCAGGGGTAACTAACCCGCGGGTTTCCCAGGGTGCTGTTGTAACAGAAGTGCCTCACCAATCTTGTCAAATCCTTCCTTAGGTATACTAATACCTAATCTTTTATTTTCTGCTTTCTACAAACTAACTTACTGACACTTGTCTTTTCCCTTGATATTTATAGGCTTCTGGTGAGGGCTTGGGCAACATTTCTCATTCTCTAGCAAGCAAGGATGACCCCCCTCAGTAACTAAGTGTCACAACTCATCGTCCCCCTCCTTCCAAGGCTTCAGGTTCCATTCAAGTATACTAACTCCTTTCCCTAGCTTTCTCTAATTTTATTCAAAGGCTTTATTCCCGACTTTATTGTTCTTGGTTTGTAACAGGGTTCTAGAGAGGGCTCGGGTAAATATCCACCGCTCTTGGTGCGCAAGACAGATCTTCCCCTGCCTCCTCTAGCTTCTGGGGTCATAGGGATCCCTATTTTTAGGCCTAAGAAGAAGGCTAAGACTGTTGATGCCACTTCCATTCCTGCTCCTACTCCTAAGTCTCTTTCTTCTCTGCCAAACAAGGTTGCCCCCTCTGCTATTTAGTGAGTTCATATGAGCTTCGTGCTGCCTCTGGACTCCCTAATCATATAAGCTCCTATTTCCTTGACAGATCTCTTATCCTTTCCAACTATATACCATTTCCGCCCAAGTCGGGCAAAATCCTTCTTGGTGACTAGGGATGCTAGGTTCCTTGTTTTTCCCTTTATCTTAACATTACCACCTTCATAACTTGGCTGGGGATGCCTAACCTCCACACATTTGGTATTTTGGTTTCTTTATCTTTCACTTCTTTTGAGGCTTTATGGTTTCTGAATACCTCGGATAAGTTTTTTGGCTCAAAATCTCCTCCTAACCTTTGGAAAACATTTCTAGAGGTTTCATTCTCAGTTGCCCGCATGATGCTTCTGCAGGCTTCTTGCTTTTCTATCTCTCTTTTTTTTATCAACTTTTGATCAATAATAGCTCTTAATGTTGGCACTTCTAGCTTACATTCTCATTGGCACTTGCTACACAATACTAACCCTTTAATTATGGTTGCTTTGGGTTTCTCGAGCAACTTGATAGTTTATTTTGTTGGTCTATCAACTTGCCTTCTTTCTACTTTCACTTCCCAAGTGGTTTTTCCCTTCTTTTTCTCAGCCCAAGTCAGGTTGATCATGTTTATTGGGGCTTTTGGGAAGGGATCCGTGTTAATCATCATATTAGCCTCGGGTTTCTCCAAGAGCAACTTCCCCTTGACTATGAGGTCTTATCAAATCCCTGAACTAGACGCAGTTAGTTATGGAATGGTTGAAGGTATAGTGCATCTTGTAATACTTCTTTCTTCTTAATTCTTTTGGCTTAGGCATCTTCTTGGTGTTGTTGGGCATAATTACTCTTGCTCGCACCAACTCTTCATAGATTTCTGAGGCCTTAGTTAAATCAAAAGAATAACTATGGTATTTAGAAGGCTTCATAGAGACAAACCCACCATCATTCATCACCACCTTCTGATCATTGACTGGCTGGACTAAACCCTTCACTGTTAAAGGTTTAAAATGGGTGTTCATCTTTGCTGCACACATCTCAATTCATTCTCCTCCATGACCATCACTTTCTTCTGGCTCTGCTCATTCAAACTCTACTTAGTGAATTGCAGCTTTATTTTTGTAGAAATGAGGCACCTTGGATGAGTGTTTCGCTTGTTGTTCTTCACTCAACAGCTTTTCATACTTTGTGGCAGCAATCACCAATTCTTCCAGTTCACTGAATAGTACATCATAAAAATTTTTTCTTAAAAGCAGCCTCAATGCCTTCTGAGCAATGGATATAAACTGGGCATGATTGATAGGGAATTGGCATCTCATCCTTGTCTTTCTAAACCTCATCATGAAGTATTATGTAGACTTATGCTCATATTGCTTTACCTCCACCAAATCATTGATAGTCATCTCGGGCTTCACTCTATAGAATTGTTCATGAAAAGCCATCTCCATTTGCCCCCAATTAGCGAATTGGGGGGCAACAAAGAATACCACTGAGATGCTAGGCCAACCAACGAATTCCCAAACAATCTTAACTTATAGTTAGGATTGTCTTCAAACGCCACACAATGGTTAGAGAACTTGAAAATGTGATCTCTAGAGGACACACTACCATTTTCTCTACTAAAAGTTGGAAACACGGACATCTTGAAGTTGAGGGGAAAAATGATTCTGCTTATCAATATACTCGGGATATGGCTTCTGGTAGGTGATCCTAAACAGCGGGCGAGCCCAAGGTTGAACATTCTAGACCACTATCTTTCTTAGTTTGGCTAACTCTTCTCTGAGTTGTTGATTGACTGATTATTAAGTGGGGTATGTGGAGGTTCCCATTTCGGGCTACAATCATTGCCCGAGAAAGTTTCTTTTTTTAGTTCAAGCTTCCTCCATCTGGCCCCTCCTCCCTTATTAGCCAATGATGTTGGCCTATAAGGGGGTTTGTCTGTAGTTGTTTGCTCACCTTTCCCACTGGATTCTCCAATTAATTGGGGCATCCCATACTTTTTTCTTTCTTGCCTGCTCTGCCCCTACTATCTAGTGAAAATAATCGGGCAACTCTGTTTCCAAGATCTTCTTCAATACTAGCTGACTAACGTTAGATCTTTCCTTGTTTTTTTTCCTTTATCCTTTTTTTCCTCAAGCAAAGGAAATAAAGGAATAACTGGTTCTTTCTCAGGACTTACTTCTTCCATCATTTCCCCGGCATAACCATTTTTGGGAGTAGAGTACTCAAGATCTAATCTTCTTTGTAAACTCCCTATTAAGGAACATAGTCTACTCACTTTTCCTTTAGTTTCCAGAGTAATCTTTTCCATACTTTTCAACACTTACACCATAGTGGCTTGCAAGTCTTCATTTGTCACATTCCCTTCCGACTTCTCAGATGAAGTCGGGCTTCCTATAATAGCTGGTCCTCGTAAAGGGGGAAATCTTCTGGATGATCTGTCATGCTTAATCTTGGTAGATACTGAGGTGGCCCGTATTCTGTGTTCCACCTGAAGGTTATCTCTTTCCTTCTATTTCTTAGCATACAAGGCCAATGAGATCCCACCGAGTGTGCCAAAACTATGTTTGGGCAAAGATTTCTCTGGAGAAAGGCTCCTCGGACCTCAGCATAGCTCCTCAATGGATTGGCATTTTGGATGTATAGTCAGGCTCTTGCTTGTTGATGTGCTACAAGAAGAGAACAAAGTTAGTTCTAAAAGGTGCCTTTGTAGGGTTTTAGGTGTAGGCCTTGAGGCTCACAATTAAAACTAAGTAAGTGCTTAGGTGTGTGACTGCTATTTCAGTATAACATATGTAGAACAAGTGTGTTTTAAGTTGATTACTTGCGCCCCAAGTTACTTAAACTTCTTGTTATCAAATGATTGTCGCGGATGGGTTAAGTCCACATTAAGTTCTTTTTCTTGCCTTGTAAACAAGGACTTTTAGTTCATGGTCTTGCATGTTCGAATGAAGGGAGTCCAGAGCCCCTTAAGTCATTTGTTTAGTCCCAAACTACTTTTAATGAAAAGATATCCACCAAACTAACCAGATCCACACTCAAATGAGACTTTTAAAATAGAAAAACAGGTGGAAATAGCTTGAATACATGCTAGATAATGCATTAAGCAATATATCTATTAATTAAGAAAACAAACAAAAGGTTTCAGGCAAGATTTCACCTTGTCTGGCAAGGTTAAACTTCTTGCAGTCACTTCTTTTTGAATTTACAGGGGTTATATGCTAAAAAAAAAGGATGGATGGTAAACAAGTTGACACAAGATGATCGATACTACAACATTGGGAATGGTAGCAGAGCTTTTATACTAGAAAAAAGATAATTTTTCTAAGGAAACTATCGCTAAAAGGACTGAATACGGGTTGATTTCAGCTTTTGGATGCAAATCTGGCTTGAGAGCAGAGTTTGTAAGTTTGTTTGTTTGATTGGTTGAGTGTCCTTGTCCCCGTTGTCTTTTCTTCATTTTATAGGCAGTTTGGCCCGACTGCTGTAACTTTTACTCTTGCCCAAAAGCACTTGGAGGATAGTGAGTCATCAGTTTTTTTACTATAAATGCCACTGGAAAGTGTTCTTTGGCTGATAGTAGATTAATCTTCATCACTTGTCACTTTAATTATAGACATGTGGCTTGTGTCTTAGCTGAGAAGGCTTCAATTTGTTCCTGGGCTCAACGGGCTTCGGGCAAGTCTTCCCTTAATTTGGCATCCTTAGGTTTTCCTTTATTTAAGCCCAATATTCAAATATTAACCCAAACAACTTCTTGTAGCATTGACCAGTTAAGAAGCTAGCTGCAGACGTGTTCTGATTACTACAAAGAAAGTGATTGGCCTGTGAATTTTCATAATTTTAACAGCATTATTGGCTAATTAATATATACCACGTGTTCAAAAAATAAACTTAACTGTCCAATAAAAACTTGTCAAGTAATTAAATTGGAGACAAGATTGTATATATCTTTCCAATCTGGGATCATCCATTGTGCATCCCTTACCTATAGAAAAGCATTCAGGCTTTGATATTGAATGCTCAAATAGCTTCCTGCAGTCTTGTTTAAGCGTATCGCAAACTCTGATTTCTTCAGCAAAAAAGTTATTATCCTACCAAACTAAATAACAACATTAGCGCTTAGGAAACTGTTTGATAATCATTTTGTTTTTAATTAGTTGTTAGCTTTCATTTTTGTTTTATATAGTAGAGAAATAGTGCATGGAAGAAATAAAGGATATAAAACAAGGAAAATTAATGAAAATGACTTGAAAACTTTGAGTTTTAATGACAAGAACAAAATAAAAGATAAAGTGAATAGTACCAAGATTGACTTTTTAGTGTAAAAATGTGGTTTTTCGTTAAAGTGAACAATACCAAAAGTTTTTCGTTAAAGTTTCCTATAAAATAATGGAGGAAGATAGGTGGAAGAGATGTAGAAGAAATTTTAGTAGTAAAAGTACACAAAATAAAAACTAAAAACCAAATATAAAAATTACTTTAAGTTATTTTCTCTTTCAACATTTTGCTTCATTCACTCTTGTTTATTTCTTGTACTCTCTCCCATCAACCTTCAATACCAATCGAAATTTTGGTTTATCGACTCTGCACGGATAATGTAAGATAAGAATAATTAGTCCACTCTCATCTGATTTCTGGGAAACAAAACATCACCTAATAAAGGCAGAGTCAAGTTTTCATGCAGAATATATGAATCTAGATCTTCAATAAATTAGGGTTACCAACTTTTGTCAGACACTGGTCTTGAGCCTTTACCGGGTGAAAGCTTGACTTTGTTGAGAGGGGATTTATCAAGATCGTGATTATATATACTTGATCAATTGCAAAGACTGTCCACACACTAAACGGTACCCTGAATTGCGAAAACTTGATCAAACTGCACAAGTCAAGCCTTCAAATAAGAGACAAAAGTTAATCCACTTTCCATTCAACTGATGAGAAATTAATAAATTTGGTTATTCACTCACCCTCCACCTCATTACTTTATGATGACCACAGTCTCACAGAATCAATATACTTCATATATATTTGTTTATTTATTGCACAAAGGTCTTGTCTGACATAGAGGATTGGTTTGTACATGACTATTTACTATACTAAAGGTATTTTAAAAGAAGAAATGAATGACAAATTCCTTATTTTGTCCAAGTTGAAGATTACTAATGAAGAATAATTGTCTTTTTTAATCCTATCATTTTTGTGGTGATTAGTAGGGGATATTTTCTCTTAAAAAGTAACCTTCAACTTAGACAAATTAAATAAAAAATTTATCATTTTTTTTTAATGTCTTCGATATAGTGAATAGTACTACATAAGCTAATCCTCTTTATCAAGCAAAGCCAAAAGGTATTTCATATGTCATGAATTGGCATAGGACATGTATAAACTAAAAGCTGATTTCAGATGTAAACCATAAAACATCAGATTCCTGACATTAATATTCTTGGGTACCTAACCCCCTTACAAATCAATAGTCTTTAAGCAAAGAGAATCAAACAAACATCAGAGCTCCAATTCCTAAACTTCAGAAGAATATTGTGATAACAACGAAGTGATATACCTCCAACAAAAATAAGGATTAAAAAGTAATGACCTGGGTTGGTTGAGTAAGATTTTTACACAATTAAAACCCATTGAGGTGTATTGAGGTAAAACGTTGATCAACAGATTAATTTTACTGACTGCAACAGAAAAGATTCAACAAAGTATATGAACCATTACTAATCATGATTAAAGTATTACCCTGCCCTCGTGCATTGCTGGTGGCCAATCTGAAGATCCATCAGGTGCTCTGATGTTCTTGTGGTGTAAAAATGCCTAGAAAATCAATAACACAACAAAAGTATTGAGCAAAGATGGTGCTTTGGATCATATCATCTCATATTTACAGCTGTCCGTTTGAATCAAAGGCAGCACTAGCAGAAGTGCAGAACTTAGTAAAGAGCTAATTAAATAATATAAAATCCGAATTTGAATTAATTTTCATTTGCCAGACTTATCGTCAGAAACAAGTTTATATTTCCACGTTGTGAATGGATTCACACATCTAACCACCAGTAATCTACGAACGATGGTCAAAATTCAAAAAATTAATTGCAGGATACACCAACTGTGACGTTTCATCCATTAGTCAACTTAATTCGGATAAGCCAACAACATATGGTAGAAGATAAAGACATGATTAATACTAGTACTTAATAATCTTCAAAGGATTTAAAACTAAAATAACCCCAAAAATCAATTGTCTGGCACCTCAAAAATTGCTCTCTCACCTTAATTCTTCACAGGGATCATCGACGCGGATGCCAAATAGTCATGTACCAGCTGATGCAGCATCATCAAGATTCCCACTTCGAAGGAACTACCTTTCAAGTGCAAAAGGAAGTTGAAGGAAATATTCAGATTGGTGCAGTAACAATTTACTCGATCGATAAAGGTAGCCCCCTTGCCTGTATGTGAATCTTGATGATGCTGCACCCGCGAATACTGACTTACTCTGACAGATGGTCTTGAGATTCCTCATGCAAATTATGCAGATTGTAGAAGCAGAAACCCTAACCCTAAAAAGAAGACAATTAACCCATGAATGGAGGACTGGACTCATAAAGTTGGAGAACAAGCGAAAAAGAATCCATATATCCTATCGTATGGATATCAGTATGGAAGTACAGAAGCTAAGATCCATCCACCTGATTTAAGAGAGACAAGACAATAAGAACGACTAATGGGAGAGCTAATATGCCTATGGTTAAAGAAGAGATGAATCCTAATTTAAAAAACAGTTTGGAAAATCCGGATAGAAGAACACAAAAGCTAGACCTAATCTAGCTCACTCATACTTTTGAACTTATTTTGTTCCAAGGCTGGAGTTAGGCTGGTGGCTAGCAATACTATTTATACAAAGCCAGGTCCTTAGGCTTTTTCTGGGGTGATTTTTAAAATAGGCTGTAAGATCTTAATTTTTTCACATTGACCCCAAGGTTTTGAAATTGTATTAATTTACACTTTTTGGATATTTGAACATTTAATTATTCATTAAGCTAATGAGTTTTTTAGTTGATATGGTGCAACTGTGACTTACATGTCTCTAAAATTAAAGAGTTTTATTCAAATAAATGTGTATATTGATACAATCTCAACATCTTTAAGGACAATGTGAGAACTTTTAAGCTTCGTGGTCGATTTGAAAGTCACCCCAAACAAAAATGTTTTGAAACGAACCTAGCCTTTTTTTACCCTTCATGTGGGACGAGGTGGACATGCATGACCCCAGCTCGCATAAACTTTCCAACCTTTCATGTTATACCACAGGCGCCACCTATATAATTTAGGACATAACTAGGAAGACCTTCTGGCTCAAGAAGTTAAGTGATCACAATCCGGTACATTAGTGAAGCCCTCATTTTAAGAACCGAAAAATAAAATCTTTAAAGCACTTTCAATGTAGTAAAGTCCATCTGGGCAATAGGCAACTCAATCTCTTTAAATAAACAGTAACTACCCAATTGCATATCCATCCTAAACTGAATAGTCCAAGCAATTCGTATTAAAATATTAATATTTTTTTTATTTTATAAAATAATCAAAGATAACTTTATTTTTAATTTCGGATAATAATAAAAGATTGTTTGAAAGCATTTGAAAATATTGAAATGTAGTGTAAAGTGGAAGAACATTGTTAGGCATTTATAAAAAAAAAATTATAATTTTTATATTTTTAATTAGTTTTTTTTTTATAATTTTTTAATAATTTAAATTGTGGCTGACGTCAACCTTGCGTTACATAAGCAGGGTGATGGGCCATATAATTATTGCCTAACTTCTCCACCGGGCTCACCTTGAACCCAATTGCTCGAGTGGGTTGGAGTGTTTTGGGAAGGGAGGAGAGTGGATTGAGTTGCCTATCCCCAAGGCAATAAGCAACGGTGGAGTTGCTCTTAAGGAGTATGTTAAGTGTGTTGCGGGTGTAAATTCAAAATGGGGAAATTAAAGTCTTGCATAAAAGCATCTCTACCAGTTGGTGGAGGGCAATGACAATTGGAGCACGAGGGCAATAAAATTGCCCTTATTTTTAACTCTAAACAGTAAGTGGTTTTGTGCAAGTCCACCAGTTTGGGTGGAAGAAGGGCAATGACAAGGGCAATTACTATTCACAAATATATTTTTTAAATTTTTAATGAATGTGGGCGTTATAACAAACATAATTAAAATCTAATTCCAATAAATAATTTCAAATACAACTGAAAGTCATCGCCTTACAACAATCATAATTAATTTTAAACTAGGGGATACAATTAGTGTCGCTTGATCCGTCTTCCCTTGAAATGTATGAAACTTCCTCATCTTCCAAGCAAAACCTTCTTCTCATATGCTATTCATCACTTCTTCCAACGGTTCCATTTCATCATGAAAGAGCTGTTTGGCTCATTTGGTCATCATGGGGGTGGGACTCACGGCTGTTTGCTGGTGCAAAGAAAGGGTGCGGCCCTTTGCAACAATTGGCAGGGCATCTGCCATGCTGCCTGCCCTTGCATCAATTGCCACTGGTTTTGCAACTGCTGGAGCAATTTTTAATGGGTTGGGGGGGAATTAAACCCAATTGAAAGGGCAATTCTTATCTGGTGGAGTTACTCTAATCGTTTAGGAAAATGGTAGGAAGACCACATTAATAACACTTCTCTATACAAGTTTGGCCTATTTGTATTGGTGACCCCTACCTCTATTAAAATGAGGTACAAATGTGACTCACTGAATGTGATCTCCTCAACATTACCCATACGTGCAACTAAGAAATTGTAAACTTGAATCTAACCAAACTTATTAACCACAATTAGTTTCGCTCGGTTTGTTGTGGCCTATTTGGGAACTAGCTTAACCAAGATGCCCTTATTAGCTTTTCTTTTTGAAGATGTATTTATAGAGCTAAATATAATCAAGAAAATTATGGACGCAACACGTGAACTTTTGGGTAAATATGACAAAATTACTCTCGAGACACACTGGGATTCCCACGCGCATACAACAGACAATAACAACTCAATCAAGGAAGAGTCAAAGATGATCAAAATGGTATTTATTAAAATTCCTCTCATCACTCCTCATCAAATCTTTATTCAAAAGGTAACTCGCAAATTTCCTATTTAATTTAGGATTAATTGCTATGTTAATTGCAAGATATTATTTCACGTAATATCTTGCAATTATTCACCTAATCACACTATATATGGTTGGCCACTACTCTCCAAATAGGGCCGGCCGCTTCTCTATAAATAGCCCTATAATCCCACTAAAAAGCTAAGTCATTTGATACCCACAAACTTCAAAATACATTCTTTTCAGAATTCTAACTTTGGCATCGGAGATTCCTAGGCCAAAGCCCCCCCCTCAAAAATCATCATGGGCACGTGAGGCTTTTGGCCTTAATTTTAGGTGTTATTATTTTGCAGGTGCATTTTCGTCAACTGAGAAGACGGCTGAAATATGCATCCACAGTATTGGCTCAAAAAAATTGTGGAGAGATTCTTAGACAAAAACAGTTTATGGTCGAACTGTAAATCACTATATAAAGATCATTTCGGCAAAACCAATGAAATATTAGATTGTGTAGTCATTGAACTATATAAAAATAGATCATCAGAGTTCGTCAAGTATTACGAAATGTCTATCTATTTATTATATTTGATTGACTAAACAACCTTAGTTTTAATTGAATTTTTTTGTAAAGATAATCTTTACAGAATGTTTAATAATGTAAACAGTTATCTATACTATTATTAAGAAATCCCTCCTTGTCAACTTTTTTTCCTATTTTGCCCTCACTTTTGATACACACTATTGACAAAAAGGAGGGCAAAATAGTAATTTTGTATCTTTTAACAAAATGACAATTATATCCCTATTTTACCCTCTTTTTTTTTAGATAATGACAATCATATTTTTTCAATTTTACCCTCACTTTTGATACACAATATTTACATAAGGAGGACAAAATAGTAATTATGCAATATTAAAAAAAATATATGCACTTATTAAGAGAAATTATTTACATATATACAAAATGTGTGCTCTATGCTAGTTGTCATAAACACAAGTTCTATGAATTGGCCATAAACTTTTTTGAGGAGAAGGTCTGTCACAACTTTATGAAAGCCAAGTATGTCAATATTTAATCCACTTGAAATTTTCTTGTTAGTGATCACCATTTATATTTATATCACGTCGAAATGCATTGATATCACCATAAAATATCATTTCTTTGTTCTTTTTATGCTAAGATTATCTGATTGTTTGTTTGTTTGTTTTTTTAGTAGTCATAAACAAAAGTTCTATGAATTTGGCCATAAACTTTTTTGAGGAGAAGGTCTGTCACAATTTTGTGAAAGCCACGTATCTCAATATTTTGTCCACTTGAAATTTTCTTGTAGTGATCACCATTTATATTTATATCACGTCGAAATGCACTGATATCAACATAAAATATCATTTCTCTGTTCTTTTTATGCTAAGATTATCTGATTGTTTTTTTTAATTATATTGTTAGTGAATTAAATTGTTAGTTGTTACAGAAGAGCAAAATCATTAAGAATCGAACCCGCACCAGAATTTATAAGAATAATTGCTTCTTCCTCTTCAATAAAGCGACATTTGCTTTGATTGTTTGTTTGTTCCACTTTGATTGATGTTGAAAGTTGGCATGATATATCCGAGATTAAGAAAATAAAAGGCTGCCGATGGCGGTAAATACTTCTTGAAAATATTAGTATTTTAGGTTTATTTATTTTTTGGCTAAATTTGGTATTTGATGTATGACAATTCTTAAGATTTAAGTCTTTATAAATATAGTTTGTAATTTAATTAGTATGAGATATAATCTATAAATATAGTTTGTCATGTTAAACACAATTATATAGATTTAGGAGTAACGATGATCCCCAGGGCATCCATTGAGTGAAAAAGACAAGTTGAGAAAGGAAAGTGGAGAAGGTACCTAGTATTCCTCTAATAAGAAATTATTTGATTGGCTTGTTGTTGGTTTCAAATATAAAATTTGTGTGTTTCGTTTCACATGATTGTTAGTTTTGGAAAGTCTCTAAATAGTTTATTTGATTGTTAGGTTTTATTTGGTTTAATTTTTGTACGAGTTATAATTCAAACTAAACCTATATATACACTCATAATGTGAGATTCTATAGACCGGGAAAGGAATTTATATAACGTGAATACACTTTCAATTTAACGTCATATGTTAATAATATAATATGTCATAGATTTTCTTCAACGTGACATTTAATCATTGATATAAACCGTCATGATCAGGGGATATTCGTCATCAAAATCAGTTGTGTAATCTTGGGTAAAATCGATCGGAATTAGACTATTGGCACAAACCCCTAGTTAATGATGGCATGCAATCTAGCAAAACCTAGCATACTAATGCAGTCCAATATACAATTCCTTCGTTACAGAAAAATCACATGCAAAGGCATACATAAATATCCAACTTCGACTAAAAGATATTCTCGCGGCTGCTTTAGCTTTCAAATGGGAAAGTGGCATGTGACACAATACGCATACTGATCTTTATAGTACAAAATTACAAATCATCATGATTGTAATTTGCAGCAGCCAATTGTCCTAGTAACAGACACTGCCACGTGAAGTTTACGTGTAAAGCTACCACACTTCGGAAAGTGACCAGCATTTTCTAAGTATTTGTTATTCAACAATGGGATCGAACCAGCTTCATCTGCGCAACAGAAGGAATCGATTAGATGATAGGGAAGGTTGTCCTAATAAATATGACATTTTTTTCTTCAATTTATAAAATTTTGAGTTCAAATGCTATTGTTC